GAGAGCAGCTGTGGTTCGTGGCCGGGTCGTCACGAAAGCTGGTCGGGGCTTGGTCGGCCTTCGCGTCGGGACAAGCAATAATAACGAAGGCTTTACTCTTACTCGTCGGGACGGCTGGTTTGACATCATGGTCAACGGAGGCGGGGCGGTGGGCTGGGCTTGGCCTTCACGTCGAAGCAAACCCCCTGTTTGCGTGCAGTCGTGCGAAGTACGTCTGGGTCGGTGTGTGATGGGTCGTGGTTTGGTGTGTTGGTGTGTTGTGTGTGTGTGTGTGTGTGTGTGTGTGTGTGCCGGTTTGCTGTGTGTTAGTGTGTGTTGTGTGTGTGTGTATGCTGATTATTAATGTTTGATTGTTTGTATCGTGTGTTATGAGCATTATCTTATTGAATACTGAGTATATCTTATACGTTTCAAAGTATCGCCTGCTCCTCGATACAAAATGTGATGTGTGTGCGTGCGTGTGTGTGTGTGTGTGTGTGTGTGTGTGTGTGTGTGTGTGTGTGTGTGTATCTGTGGATTTATGTGAACGTGTACGACTAAATCTATGCAGGACTCAACTACACGTCAAAGCTCCAAACAAGATCAAAACATTGAATTTTGATGACAAACATTAGTGAAACCAAAAAGTACGATAATTGCTCATAAACCTCATATGTTAGACTTTACATAACATTAAAAAAGCGTTTTAAAAATCGAAGCATAGCGGCCGACTAGCCCTACCGACCCCCCCCCTTACCCTTACCCCTCCCCCCCTCCCCTCTCACTCCCCTTTGCTCCTCCGTCTTTCTCTCCCTCCCTCCATTTCTCCCATCATTTTTTTCTCCTCCCATCATTTTTTCCCTTTCTTCTCGCATGTTCCCCTCCTTCCTTCCTTTTTCTTCCTTTCCCTTCCCTCCCCTCCCCTCCCCTCCCCTCCTTTTTATTTTTTCCGTCTCTTTTTCTTCTCTCTCCACTCCTCCTTCCACCCTTCCATCCCTCCTTTCCCCTTCCCTCCCTCCTTTTCTCACGTCCTTCCCTCCCCCCTTTTCGTCCTTATCTCTCCTCCCTTTCCCCCCTTCTTCCTTCCTCCCCTGTTCCCCCTCTTTCTCTTCCTTCCCTCCCACCTTCCCTCCCTCCTGTCCCCACATCCTTCCCTCCCCTTTTCGTCCTTACTCCTCCCTTCCTTCCATCTCTCCCCTCCCTTCCCCCTCCCTTCCCTTCCTTCCTGTTCCCCCTCTTTTTCTCTTCCTTCCCTCCCATCTTCCCTCCCTCCTGTTCCCACATCCTTCCCTCCCCATTTTCGTCCTTACTCCTCCTTCCTATCATCTCTCCCTCTCTTCCCCCCTCCCTTCCCTCCTTCCTGTTCCCCCCTTTTCTCTCCCTTCCCTCCCACCTTCCCTTCCCTTCCTTTCCCCCCTTCCCTCCCCCCCCTCCCTCCCTTCCCCCCTTTCCCTCGGGCGAGTAAACAACAGCAAAGAAAAAGTTTTAAGCCTTTCTGGCAGGTAAGCTTAAGAATTCGAATTTTTCGTTTGGCAACGTTGGGGCTTGAGGGTACGATCTCGGTTTGCTTGGCTGTTCACTAAGCACATTACGAGAGGAAGGACAAAATTATTATATGATGTACACACATTTCCCTGTAGATGTATGTGATGTTAAGCAGACGATCTGTGGCAGAATAAGACTGTATCAGCTTGAAAAAAGTGCGTTAAAAAATCGGATTAAAGATGGGCTGTTTAGAACAAAAAAAAAAATATCGTAATTTTCTTCAAGTTTGGAATATGAATGGATGATCAAAATGACATGATGTTGTTATATGATATTGTATTGTAGCGTTTCATCACAAAGTACAGCCGGCCAACAAGAGCCTTTCGCCAGCCAGGGGAACCGACGCCACACAAATATCACCCCTCCCCCCTCTACGCCCCTCGACTTCCCTCGACCCCTCGACCCTGGCCCTAAATCCCTCCCCTCACTTTACCCCCCCCCCCCTTCGCCCCGAACTTCCCCCCTCAATCCCCTTACCTTCTACGTCGTAGCCCCCCCCCCCCCCACCTCTTCGACTCGACCGACGCTCTCCACCTCCCCCCTCCCCCACGCATGCCCCACGCGGATCCCCGCTACGCCTCCTCGACCCCCTTCCCCGTGCGCGGTGGGGCGGGGCGGTTTGCGACGCGCGCGTGCGTCGCGCCGAAGATGCTCGGGCGCGAAGGCTGGGGGCATCAAACCCCCCCTCGCGTTCACCCCCCGCACCCCCGGGGCTCCCGGCTGGGGGTGGTCGTGCGGCGCTCCCTCCCCTTGATAAGATCGGCCCTTTTGTGCCAGCGCAGCCACACCAGCCAGCCCGATCAGTAACACATAACCCCAAGATTTCCAATTAGTAAGATCTGCTCGTTATCGCCGTTGCATGTAATTTACACGCCATATCCATAATTAGCGAAGCCGGTCGAGTCTGCCGTGGTTTGTAATGGCCGCGGCTTTGATCTCCCCGAACTGTAAACCCGAACCGTAATGGCTGCCATCAAGAGACGAGAAATTATGAAATAGAATTACTTTAGACTTTATGCATGAATAAATCTTGGGCTTTTAGGCATCCCTCTGATGGTATATTCTGATTAGGTGGCAGTCGCTTCGACGTCGGGGCGATGGGGAGAAGGGGGGGGGCGGGGAAGGAGGGAGAGTCCGGTGAATATTTTAGATATACGGTCGTCGCGTTGAGGAGAATCTTTAGCGATGACTATTTAGGCGGTAGACTGTTTGTGGTCCCGGGTACACTTACTAGCTCGGTATTGTTGCGCGGATCGCCGGGAATGTCCCGCGTTTCGGCCGAGAGTCAGTCGATGGATACAGTGCGATACCTAGATTATATTCAGATAGAAAGCGCACCCCGGGGCCAATTAACGAAGAGAGTTCCGTAAGCAACTACTGTATTGCGTCATGGAATTCTACTGTGGCATTAGCATCCATTAGGCATAGCCATCCCATCAGGGATTTCAGTGCAACAATGTGGTGCACCATTGTCACCATAGGAGTCGTAAACTTATCCTGTTCTGTCTGAAGGAGCGTCGCCCCGGGTATTGATCCCGTATGGAAGATATGTTTCAGTGTTTGATTCGTGCGGTGGGTGCGAGACTTCGCTGGCTGAAATTCGCTTACGGGAAAGTCTTCGAGCACACTGTACTTACGCTGAGCGGATTACGTGATATACACGTGTACACGAGAGACATTCTAAGGTCTTAAGGTCTTATCCGCTGTGTTTGTGTCTGTTTATTTTAATGTGTGTGTGCAGTGATATCTGTCGCCGTTCCCCAAGCATCCCTCCACCCCTCCTCTGTCCCTCAGATCCGAGTGATGGTACCATGGAATGAGATGGTGGTCCTCGACGACATCGTGATGACCGTGAGCGGTGTCCCGGGACACAGCGATCGCTCGGACGACTACCACGACCACAAGCAGCGGCGCCTCGGTTCGTCGCACTGCCCGCTGCACGATTACGACCTCCTCAAGCCGGTGTCGCATGGCCACATGCAGAATGGCTTCCAGAGGGGAGTGTCCGAGCGGGTGGACGCCATCCTGGTGGAGGCGCAGGCGGTGCAGGAATCCGTTCGCATCCCCGGGACGGGACTTTACCTCGTGTACCACTCCTCAAGGTACTCTGTTTACTCTAGTTGTGTGTGCGTTACTCCCGCACGCCTAGCTTCTTATGCAATATCTATCATCTTTTAACCACTTAATCAACAAAATAATTCCAAACACACTCCGACCAAAGCCGCGAAGCTCAACATCAACAAACCAAACCCACGACGAATGCTTCCTTGCAGGGCCAACGGCTACGAGTCCACGCTGCGCCTCCAGCTGACGCCTGACCGCATCCCGTCCTCCCTGCGTCGCGTCCACCTGCGGATCGTCCTCGAGGGCATTCTCTTCCGCAAGGTGTTGTTCGCAGGCCGACCCGCCGGCATCAAGTTCACCTACGCCTGGAACCGCATGAACGTGTACAGGTAAGTGGTCGTGGCCAGTGGTGCTCCGGGAGAGGCTGATGAGGATGATGGTGATGTTCATAAGTAATGAAATTTATTGTTTTGAATAGTGGTACTAGTTGAATTGGTAATAGTGTTATTACTATTATTATGACTATTAGTCACATCATTATCAGAATCAGGTATGCAGTTATCTACATTCCCATTCTCTGTAATAATTTACCATTATTATTATTATTATCATGGTTACCATTGATAGTAGTAGTATAGTAGTAGTAGTAGTAGCAGCAGCAGGTATTAAGTGAGTGACCCTTATCATAAATTATCCTTATTACCATTAGTAGTTAGCGAGTAGTTTAAAGTGGCTTAAAAATTGTGACCTTTGCTTATCAGAGTGACAACAACTATGCTAGAAAAGGATAGATAGATTAGAATGGGTAGGATAGCAACTGAATAGATAGAATACAGATAAAGATTACGTTACAGTATAATCGATTGTTGTCTATCATTAGCAAATAATGTTACATGTTTCCTGTTTGATATTATTATAATCAGAATATGCCTCTTTTTATATCTGTTTCTCTCTTTTTTCTTCTTCTTCTCCTCTTCACCCCCCCTCCTCCCGCCTCCCTCTTTCTTACTCCCTCTTTCTTTCCTCCTCTTATTTTCCTCTTTCACTTCTCTTCCCTCCTCATCCACCCCTCTCCACGCCCTCCTTTTTTCCTACCCCTCTCGCCTCTCCCCTATCTCTCTCTCTTCTCCTCTTTCCCCTCCTTCCTCTCCTCCTCCCCTGCCTTAAATTTCCTACCCTTCCCTCCTATTTTACCCCTCTTTTCCTCCCTTTTACCCTCTCTTTTTCCCGCCCTGCTTCCTTCCCTCCTCTTATTCCCCTCCCTTTCCCCAATCTCCCCTCTTTCTAACCCCTCTCCTACCCCCCTCCCTCGACCCCACCCTCGACCCTCGCCCTCGAACCCTTGCCTCGACCCCCGCCCTCGACCCCCACCCTCGGCTCCCGCCTCGACCCCACCCTCGACCCCGCCCTCGACCCCCACCCTCGACCCTCGCCCTCGACCCCCGCCCTCGACCCCCCCCGACTCCCGCCCTCGACCCCCGCCCCTCGACCCCACCCTTGACCCTCACCCTCGACCCCCGCCCTCACCACCCGCTCCCCGCCGAGCAGGCAGAGCGTGTACGGCGTGACGGTGGCTCGCGTGTCCGTGGGCTACGAGCACGAGAACTGCCCCAAGATCATCTGGGAGCACCAGACGGCGCGGGTGGCGGGATACGACCTCGCCATCTCCAGCGTGGGCGGATTCAACCTGCATGTGCATCACGCTTATAATTTCCATCAGGGTAAGGATTTTATTTTCTTCTTCTTCTTTCTTTCTTTTTGAAGGGGGTTGAAGGGATTCGGATGTTTGGAAATATTTTGCATGCAACTTTCGTCGGATATTTCCTTATGCGGAAGGTTTTTCCTCTCTCCCTGTGACGCCTCCTCCAACCTCTCATCCGCCCCGCAGGGATCTTGCAGAAGGGCGACGGCCAGAACATCCACCTGGCGGGCCAGGCACCTGGTGACGACCCTCCTGGGCACGGCGAGCAGCGGGAGGTGAACTGCGGCAGCCGCTGCGAGGGCCGCGCCGAGCACTCGCCGCTGCACGCCCCGACGTGCCTCGCCGCCGCGCCCGACGGCTCGCTCTACGTCGGCGACTTCAACCTCATCAGGAGAGTCAAGCCCGACGGCACCGTCATCACGGTGGCCAAGCTCAAGTGAGTCTCTCTCATTCTCTCTCTCTCTCTCTCTCTCTCTCTCTCTCTCTCTCTCTCTCTCTCTCTCTCTCTCTCTCTCTCTCTCTCTCTCTCTCTCTCTCTCTCTCTATATATATATATATATATAATATATATATATATATTATATATATATATATATATATATATAATATATATATATATATATATATATATATATGTATATATGTATATATATATATATATATATATATATATATATATATATATATATATATATATATATATATATATATATATATATATGTATATATATATATATATATATATATATATATATATATATACATATATATATATATATATATATATATATATATATATATCTTCTCTCTCTCTCTCTCTCTCTCTCTCTCTCTCTTCTCTCTCTCTCTCTCTCTCTCTCTCTCTCTCTCTCTCTCTCTCTCTCTCTCTCTCTCTCTCTCTTTTCCCTCTCTCTCTTATACTCTCCTACGTTAATTTTTCACACGAGGATAATCGTTAGTAATATGAATATTTATGAATGTTGATGCAGTGCTGTAATTGATAGTGATGATATCAGTTTACTATACCATACATGCGCTCCGCGTGCGCGCTTGTGTGTTTCTTTGCTTCATAATCCAAACCGAACAATGTATTAACCCAAACCACTCTCCCCACACATCCTCACCCTTCACTGCTCACCGCAAACCCCTTGCCTCCTACTCTTCACCTTCTCTTCCACCCTCACTTTCATCCTTCGCTCTTCACCTTTTTTTTCCTCACCCTCCCTCTCCCCTCTCCCTCTCCTTCCCTCTCCCTCTCCTTCCCTCCTCTCCTTCTCCTTCCCTCCTTCCCTCTCTTCCCTCTCCCCTCCTTCCCTCTCTCTTCCCCTCTCCCTCTCCTTCCCTTCCCTCTTCCCTCTTCCCCTTCCCCTCTCCCCTTCCCTCTCCCTCTCCTTCCCTCTCCTCTCCTTCCCTCTCCCTCTCCCTCCTCTCCCCCTCTCCCCTTTCCTCCCTCTCCTCTCCTCCTTCCTCTCTCTCCTTCCCTCTCTCCCTCCCTCTCCCTCTTCCCTCTCCCTTTCCCCACAACAGCGAGACGCGCGTCTCCTACCGCTACCACGTGGCCGTCTCCCCCCTGGACGGCTCTGTGTACGTGAGCGACCCCGAGGCCCACCAGGTGCTGCGTCTGGAGAACACGGAGGGCGTGACAGACCCCTTGCGTAACACCGTCACCGTCGTGGGTTCGGGGCAGCGCTGTCTCCCCGGGGATAGGAACCAGTGCGGCGACGGAGGGATGGCGAGACACGCGCGCTTGACCTATCCCAAAGGTGAGGGGGTTAAGGGGGCTAGAAGTGAGGGGAAGGAGACGAGGAGAAAGAGGGGCTTCTTGGGATAGGTCTGTTGCTCTTTATATGCCTGTTAACGGGTTGATTTACTCGTTGATTTACTTTTTATTTGATATGATTGTTATTCTTTTTAGTTTACAGAACGTCCGTTTAAGCTTTTGTTTAACTGTACTTGGTTTATTATTTCTTTTTTTGGGGGGGATGGGTGGTAGAATGAGTAAACTTTACTTCATAGATCCCAATAGCTTTTTTTCTGAACAATATTATTATTTAGTTATATGCTGTCCTTTCTATAAGTTATATACCATCTTTCTGGTACACTCTGGAAACGAATACATATGACACAAATAAATTCATCAAACGTACTTTATATACCACCTATATTTTTCATTGTACACTGACTGTTGCATTCACTATTTCCCTCCGCCATAAAGAAAACGTATGTGGAGTTTTGTTATGTTATCGGCGTTTTATGTCGCTTTGTATACAACTCCATTAATTGTTTAGAAGTGTGTAGATATTTTCCTTTATCTGTTTATCTTTATTTTTGTAATCATTTGACTTTAAAATGTTAAAAAGCCAGCTTGGTCACCGAGCTTAAAATAGAAGGGGGATGAAATAAAATGAATACGGTAAAATTACGTGTCATTAAGAAAGTTTGTTTAATGGAGAGGAAAAAAACACTCATTAAGCCTGGAAAAATATTGCGATATCCCGCTGAGAATATACATTTTAAATACGAAAGCATTTTCACGTCAACCGTCACATTACACCGTTTTCTGTCTGTCTGGCTGTCTGTCTTTTTATTTTTTTAATCACTTTAGACGAATTCTTGAGGAAAGAACTGGTATTTTCAAGCAAATTGACATTTTTATTTATATAAGGAAGACAGAATTGACCCATATATATTTAAGAAAGAATTTTGGCTTTTTCTGTAAAATGTTCTTGTAAAATGACCTGCTTTTTCAGTGCAAGATAAATTCGCTTGAAACCACCTTAGTGACACGATGCGAATCATTTTCTGTAAATTATAATCCCTTTAAAACATATCCTAAAAAAAATGCATCTCACGAAAGCCATATTATGTATTAACATTTCCTGGACTCCTTCCTAGGTCTGGCCATCTCGTCATCGGGCGAAATCTACATCGCCGACGGGACGAATATCCGCGTCGTGAGTCCAGCCGGCGATATCCACACGCTGATCGGAGGCCACGACCACCGCTCCCACTGGGCTCCCGTCCCTTGCAACGGCACCATCAACATCGACCAGTTGCACCTCCGCTGGCCCACCGAGCTGGCCATATCTCCTCTCGACGGCTCCCTTCACATCCTTGACGACCACTTGGTGCTTCGCGTCACGCCTGATAATCGAGTGCAGGTTTGTAGGATGGCTTGTCTTGAGGGGAATGGGGCTGTATACTAGTATTATCATTAATACTGTTATATGACGATGCTGTTCGAATTAAGATTATATACTATCATTGTTATCGTGACACACATAACTGTATCATTATCATTACAGATATATATTGATATTAATGTCACCTTGAGGCTTACACTAACATACGGTTATGACATTATCCCGCACGTCACAGGAAGATGATGCTGGTTAGCATCTTTCTCACCGCGCTGTTTCGTATTGCAGGTGCTGACGGGTCGGTCCCTGAACTGCCCCTTGCCGCCCCACGAGCCCTCAGACATGTCCCAGACGGCCCTGCTGCTCAACCCTCAGTCTATTGCCTTCTCGCCGCAGGGTAAGTTGAGGCCTAAAAGTAATGGAGAGAGAAATAGAAGGGTGCGATAGACAATTAGAAATGGAATGGGATGGAGAGAAGGGGAAGGAAGGAAAAGAGGAGGGGGAGGGAGAAATAAAGAGAAAGGGAAGGATAAATAGGTAGACAGATTGAGAAAAGGCGGAAAGGGAGAAATAGGAGGCAGAAGAAAAAGGAAGGAGATAGGAATAAAAGAGAAAAAATCTTGCGGAATCCCCACCAAACATGGTAGTGTGCTATTTAAAGCTAAGTGGATCTCAAAAACTGTCATTATTGTGTTGAAACATTACACGAGTTAGACAAAGTAGATGACAGAAATTCATTGTGATAACTGATTCACAGGTGAGCTGTACATCGCGGAGAGCGATACGCAGCGGATCAACCGCGTCCGCATCATTACCAGCGACGGCCGCATCAGCACCTTCGCCGGCGCGGACCCCGGCTGCAACTGTCGCGACGCCACCTGCTACTGCCATACCTATGACAACGTGTCGGCGACGTCGGCCATCTTCTCGTCGATCTCGTCCATTGCTGTCACTCCTGACAGCGTCTTGCACGTGAGCGACCAGGCAGGGTACCGCGTGCGCTCCGTCAGGTCCCTCCTGCCGGAGCTCAATGAGCGCAAACAGTACGAGATCTTTTCTCCTGACACGCATGAGGTGTACGTGTTCAACCGCTTCGGGCAGCACCTGGAGACCCACAACCTGGTCACGGGCCAGACAATCTACAAGTTCTCGTACAGCGACAACTCCAACACGGGCAAGCTGCTCACAGTCACGGATTCGGCCGGCAACCGCTTCCAGATCATTCGCGATCGCGTCGGCTTCGTCAAGGCCATCGAGAACCCACAGAAGCAGCGCGTCCAGATCACGCTGTCCATGATGAAGATGCTGCAGCAGCTGGTGGCTCCCGACGGCTACAACATCACCTTCAACTACCACGGGGCGACAGGATGCATGCGCTCCAAGGTCGAGGCGGTGGGCAGGTCCTACAGCTACGAGTACGATGCCCAGGGACGTCTCACCCAGGCCGTCCTGCCCACCGGCCAGGTCATCCACCTCAACTTTGACCTGAGTGTGCGCGGTGCAGAGGTGACCGTGACCAGGGATGGCAAGGAACCTGTCATTACAAGGCTCAGGGGCAACACCTTCAATCATACATCAGGTCAGTACGAACTTTTAGTTGTGGAGTTTAGAAACATCAGTTTCATGTTCCTCCATGCTGAAGAAAATAAACGCCGAAACATTCACATTGTCAGATATTAATTAAGTTTTCACTTTTGTTCTTCAGGTCCCGTGGAGGCTCTAGCAGAAATGGGAGGCCAAGGACCGCTGAGAATCCTGACCGCATGGAAGCACGAGGTGTCGCTCGAACGCACCGCCTACCGAGTGCTGGAGTCGACGAGTCCCACCTCGGCTGAGATGTTCCCCGTTCTGTCCCGCCAGCAGACGCACATCAGCGGCAACACGGTCAACCGCTACGAGTGGAGCTACTCGCCCGCCACGACAACCGACAGCCACAATGGCATGAAGGTAGTGGATGACTTCACTGTATTTGTTTGTTTTTAGATTTTTCTTTATTTCTGTTGTTTTATTTGGTATTTCTTGATTGTAATATAGCAATATATGATGATTTTAATAAATACAGTATCATGATGTATGGATATGTAATATATGATAGATACAAGCAAGCAATGCGATCTTCCTAGTCTTACCCTTTGGCCATGTTGCAGGTCTCTGGCACTCTCAGGGTGAACGGAGCCGACCTCCTGACCCTGAGCTACGACCCTGTGTCTTCCACCGAAGCGCTCCTCTCCGTCTCGGGCCACATGCTCGTCAACATCACCTATGACCACCTCGGCAGACCCATCCGCTGGGTGCCTGTGGCCCCTCTGGTGGCCAGCAACGTCACTTACGACCACTGGGGCCATATCACCAGCTGGGTCAGGGGAAACCTCTCCGAGGACTATTATTACGACGATTTCCTCAGGCTGGTGGCGGTCGTGTACGCCGACGGCAAGGATGTCAAGTACGAATACCGCAGCCACTTCACTAAGGTGCGTTTGGGGAGTCTTGATGAAGTGCAGAATGACTTACCTTAGGTTAATCAGAAAGATTTGTGTTTTGTGTAATTTCCTAAAATGTTATTTCCAATGTCATGGAAAATATAAGGAAAGAGATACGTGATCTCTGTCATCCCATCCCGAATGCAATGTGCGCCATACAAATTGTTGAAATAACAGTAAGTGTATGATTCTGTTGATGCTAAAGCGAATGCAAAATTTCTCCTCAAAGCATGGTCATTTCCTCACGCAGCCCGAGAAGGTCACTCACCCGAGCGGAAGGGCCTACGGCCTGGTCTACGATGACGCGGGGTCGCTTCGGGAGGTCGTGACGCCCCGCGGCTCCGCTTACACCCTTCAGCTCTCGACCTCTCTCGGCTTCTACAGGCTGAGGCTGGCGCTGCCCATCGACAGCATTGCCCTGCAGGTTTGTTGCTTAGAATATTATTTACATTCCCAGTGATGGTGCTTTTCAAATTGATCATTCACAGCTAACGATAAGCAGAGTAATTTGATGATTTTTTATCAGAAATATAAAGATAATTCAAGATTCATAGTCTGTGCGTTAGTATAATGATTCCCTAAGTACTGTTAAAGTGAATTACTGTATTTGCTTGTGGAGAGCAGATGGATGAGACTGAATCTTCCCGTAACAGATGCGCCTGGACGAGGAAGGGCGCGTTCTGGCCATCACGCTGCCCGGGCGCGGCGGCACGCTGCTCTACGAGTACAACGACGCCGGCCAGGTCACCGCCGAGCTCTACGGCCACGGCCTCACCGAGTACTCCTACTACGACACGGGCCTCATGCGCAACGCCAAGACGAAGCACAGCCACTTCGACCTCCGCACCGATTACCACTACCACGGCGGCCTCATGAAGGAGATGAAGCTGCGCTACGGCCCCAAGAGCAACCTCCACAACGCCAAGCTGCGCTTCCAGTACGACGGCTCGGCGCGCCTGCGCAAGGTGGAGGGAGAGGTGGACTCCACGCCTCTCGCGGAAATGTACATTCGCTTCGACAATCAGACGGGCGTCCTCCAGGGTATCAGTGACCTGCGCATCATCAGGAACAACATCCTCGAAACGATGATTCAGAACCCGAAGAAACACTACGTCAACACGCGCAAGCAGGACAACTACGGCCGCCTTTCCGAGGTCTTCATGACGCTGGGAGACCGGATGGTGTTCCTCATGCAGCTGAAATATGACAACCGCAACCGCATTTCCGAGCGGGTGATCGAGGTGGCCGGGCGGCGCGAGGGCCTCAACATCACGTACATGCCCGACGGCCAGATCCTGGGCGCCAACGGGAAGGTCATCTGGCTCTACAGCTACGACGAGAACGGGAACGTCATCAGCTACTCGGAGAAGAGCTTCCGCACCAACCTGCAGTACGACGAGTGCGACCGCGTGACCATGGTGGGCACGAGCGAGGTCGAGTACGACGAGCGCGGCTTTGTGATCCGCATCGACAACCAGAACTTCGACTTCAACACCAAGGGTCAGCTGGTGGCGGCCTGGGACAGGGAGCAGACCTGGTCCTTCAGGATCGGCTACGACCACTTCGACCGCGTGTCGGTGTACGAGGACC